TTTAAATCAGGAAATATGAGATCTCCAACTTTTTTCCCCCCACAATTGTCTTGGTTATTTGGGGTCCCTTATGATTCTATATGAATTTTAGCATGAGTTTTTCTATTTTTCTATCTAAAAACACGATTTGGATTTGGATTTAAAAATTGCATTAAACGTGTAGATCACTCAGTGCCCATGAACTTGGGATGTTATTCCATTTTTTTAATGTCTTCTTCAATTTCTTTCAGCATTGTTTTGTAGTTTTAATTGTACAAATCTTTCACATCTTTGGTTAATTCATATGTACTTTATTCTTTTTGATGTATTGTAAATAAAATTTTCTTAATTTCTTTTCTGGATGGGTTAGTGTTAGTGTGTAGGAATGCAGTTGATAATTGTGCTTTGCCTTGTCTCTTGCTAATTTGCTGCATTTATTAGTTCTGATAGTTTTTTTAGGGAAATCTTTATGATTTTCTGCATATATGACCATATCGTCTGTGAACAGAAATAATTTTATGTCTTCTTTTCCAATTTGGAAGCTTTTTATTTCTTTTTCCTGCCTGAAAGCAGGCTCTGAGTTGTCAGCACAGTGTCCAATGTGGGGCTTGAACCCATGAACCATGTGATCATGACCTGACTGAAGTTGGATGCTTAACCAGCTGAGCCACCTAGGCACCCCTGTGTTTGAATGCTCTTAGTGGTACTATTCATAAGAGCCAAAAAGTGTAAACAACCCAAACCTTATAATAAATAGTTAAACAAAATGTGGTATCTACATAACATTGAGTATTATTCAGCCATCAAAAGGAATGAAATTCTGATAGATGCTACAATGTGGATGAACTTTGAAAATATGCTAAGTGAAAGAAGACAGGCACAAAAAGCCATATGTTACATGATTCCATGTGTATGAAATATTAAGTAGACAAGCCCATAAAGACAGAAAGTAGATTAATGGTTTCCAGGGGCTTGGGGAAGATGTTCAGATCAGGTTGGGAGGTTGAAGAAGGTGTGAACGTTTTGGTCTAGGTGCCATGGGGAGGGGAGGGAAAGCTGAGCAAAAATAAGTGAAAAACTGAACGTCTGGCTAAGCTTATGGGCCCAATCTTGCACATTCAGATGGCCACAGAAGTTGGTAAGAGATTGATGTTACTGAGGACATGGTAAGTTTGTAGAATTTCTGTGGGTGATGTGGTGGCTGATAGTGGGCAAGATGCTGGTGAGCCTATGGGTGAGGCTGGAAGAAACAGAAGATTTTCAAGAAAGGAAAGAAGATGAGTTCCACAAACTCTAAATAAACTTAAACCACTCGGTGCAATATCTGGTCCATGTAGAAAATACTTATTTGTTTGAAATAATAGTTGATTATTTTAGAGGGGTATCAGGTTTTTTTGAGGTATAATTCACATATCATACAACCCATTCCCTGTATTGGTCAACTGTCTTTTAAAAAAATTTTTATTTATTTTTGAGAGAGAGAGAGGGAGAGTGCATGTGAATGGGGGAGGGGAAGAGAGAATCCCAAGTAGGCTCTGCGCTATCTGCGCCATCAGCACAGAGCCTGGCAAAGGGCTTGATCCCACAAACCATGAGATCATCACCTGCATCAGACGTTTAACTGACTGAGCCACCCAGCCACCCCCTGGTCAACTATTTTTTGACCAGGTGCCAAGATAATTCAACTGGGTATGAGTTGTCTTTTCAACAAATGGTACTGAGACAGATTTCCATAGGGGAAAGAATGAAGTTGAACCTTTTCCTTAATACTAAATACAAAAATTAATTCACATCCTAGTGCTTATCAAGTGATATTTCATTTTGGTTTTGATTTGTATTACCCTAATGATTAATGATGTTGAACATTGTTTAGTGTTTATTGGTCATTTTTATATCTCCTTTGGAGAAATATCTATTCAGATACTTTGCACATTTTTAATTAAAATAAATAAAATTTAAAATAAAATTCAATTTATTGTTGAATTGTAAACATTCATTTTATATTCTGGATACTAGACCCTTATCAGGCATATGATTTACAAATATTTTCTCCCATTCTATGAATGTCTTTTCATTTCTTCTGAAGCATAAAAGTTTCCTGTGGGCTTCATTTTGGGGTGATGAAATGTTCTAAAATTGATTGTGGTAATGATTGCATAACTCTACCAACATACTAAAAGCCATTAAACTGAACATTTTAAAGTGTGTCTTATGAAAAATAAATAAATAATAAAAGCATGTTTTATGGCATGTGAATTATATCTCAATAAAGCTATTATTTTAAAAAAATAAAGGATGAATGAGTAAAACGAGTGGAAAATGTGCATTGAGAAAAAGAATTGATAGGGGCCCCTGGGTGGTTCAGTTGGTTAAGTGTTGAGCTCAGGTCATGATCTAACAGCTTGTGAGTTCAAGCCCTGGATTGGGCTCTGTGCTAACAGCTCAGAGCTGGAGCCTGCTTCAGATTCTGTCTGTCTGTCTCTCTCTCAAAAATAAACATTAAAAAAATTTTTATAAAAAAGAAAAAGGTTGGTAGATACTGGGACCCAAATACAGTTGGGTCCTAAATACAAATCTTATAAAACAAACTTCATCTCCCTTTTTGATAAAGTTTTTTATCAGGACTTTAGATAACATCCTTGATCCCTTTAAGATCTGGGTGAGGAAATACCTAACAAGGACTATCTGGATTTAGGCAAAATATTTGAAAAATGTACAAGAGATGACAGCATTACTGATCTCACAGCTGATGGCTCAGAGCCTGCTTGGGATTCTCTCTCCCTCTGTCTTTGCCCCTCCCCTGCTTGAACTCTTTCTCTCTCTGTCTCTCAAAAATAAATAAACATTAGAAAAAAAAAAAGGTAAGCTGCAAAAAGTTCTCAGATTATATGCCATAGGGCTTCAGCCACCTGCATTACTTTCTTTATCATTTTATTGGTGATTTCAGAGGACAAAAATAGATAAAATCCTGATCAAACTTGCGGGAGTCAGAGAACCAAGCCAACTTTAATTGGATGAATTCTACAAGGGAAAATTTTGGTTTATACAGACACAAAGCTCCCACTGAGATTGGGGTGTGCCCCACTGATGGGGGTGGAATGACAGGAAGTGGTCTTGGTGTCACGGGTGTCACGGTATGTATTACAATCACTACTTCAATCCTATCTGCTGTTTGATGGACACAAGTCCCTTCATGTCTGAGACTAGATTTTAGGTATTCTCTGGATCAGCACTCTGACTTGAGCATGGGCAACAAGCATCTGGGGAGTTTGTTAAACGCCAGATTCTGGGGTGCCTGGGTGGCTCAGTCAGTTAAGCGGCTAACTCTTTGTTTTTAAATTCTTTTCTGATGTATTTATTTTTGAGAGGAAGAGAGACAGAGTGCAAGCCAGGGAGGGGCAGAGAGAGAGGGAGACACAGAATCGGAAGCAGGCTCCAGGCTCCGAGCTGTCAGCACAGAGCCTGCTGCGGGGCTCGAACCCATGGACCTCGAGATCATGACCTGGGCTGGAATTGGATGCCTAACTGACTGAGCCACCCAGGCTCCCCAAGTGGCTGACTCTTGATTTCGGCTCAGGTCATGATCTCAGGGTTTGTGAGATGGAGCCCCACATCGGGCTCTGCACTCTGCACTAACGGTGTGGAGGCTGCTTGAGATTTTCTCTCTCTCTCAAAAATAAATAAACATATAAAAAATAAAATGTAGATTCTGAATCAGGTCACCTGGGACCCAGGTGAGATGCTGGTCTGTAGCAACTCTGGGTAACAAGATTCTAGAGACCAGTGATTTTCAAACTTGGACGCACATCAGAATCGCCTGAAGGCCTTATGAAACCAGATAGCTGGGCCCCACTCAGAATCCGATTTAGTAGGTCCTATTAAGGCCTGAAAGTCTGCATCTAAAAAGCTTTTTAATGTTTTTTTTTTGGGGGGGGGGGAAGGGCAGAGAGAGAGGGAGACACAATCTGAAGCAGGTTCCAGGCTCTGAGCTGACAGCACAGAGCCTGACTCAGGACTTGAACTCACAAACTACAAGATCATGACCTGAACTGATGCTCAAACAACTGAGCCACCCAGGCGCCCCTGAAAGCCTGCATTTTTAAACAAATTCAATGATGAGGAGGTGAGGAGGAGGAACCACACTTTGAGAGCTACTACTCTAGAACATTCTGTGACCCATGGCTTTGGCTCTTTACAGAATTTGGTGTTGTGTCCCCGCTGCTGGAGTTTTGGTTCTTTAGTTTACAGTCTTTTCATTGCTCCTGGAAACCCGTGGGAGGGGTTATTCATTCTTCCTTGAGTTTAGCTTTGTTGTCAATAAAACATACATTTCAGGCATTTCTTGTCAGGATTTTGGTGGCGGGGGGGGGGGGGAGTCTCTGCTGCCTCTGGGGACTCACTGCTATTGGACATCTACGGTGTGCCAGGCCTGGCCTCAGGCCCTTTGCAGACCAAATGTAAATCTTTGACTGCCGCACAGGGTAGGCTCCCCCAGGCACTGGCTCTCTGTGGCCCTCACCTCATGGTCAGTGCTGGGAGTTTATCTGTACATTAGTCTCCAGGGTGAAGGAGCCATCTTCACCTGTGTGTGAGGCTCGCCTAGTACGTGGCATCACACGCTAGCTGGGTGACTGACTTTACCACCAAATATACCATTCCCCTCACGAGGGCACACGACACCCTGTAATGGTGGCTGACTGTTCAGGGAAGGGTGGGTTAAGCATGGGGAGAACGTGAGCAGGGGGGCCTGGGGGGCGCTGGACGGAAGGACAATGAACAAGGACTGAGGTAGCCCATCAGGTGCCACCAAAGTTCCAAGGGGGCCAAGCCTCCCAAGACACCCTAGACGGGGGGGGTCACTGTGTTGCCCGAACCGGGTAGGGGCTCTCCTCCTTCCCCACCTGTGACTCTGTCATCCCTGCCCATTTACTCCACTTCCCTGATGGCCCCCGCTGCACGCTCAGCAGACCCCGGAAGCCCACCGCTGAGGGAGGCAGGCTAGGCAGGACACGAGCGGCAGCCTCCTCTCGGGCCCACTTTATTTGGGAGCAGGGTGGGGAGGGCTCTAGGCCTGCTGGGCCCGCAGCAGCGCTCGCACCTGGCTGATCTGCCAGTCGACACTGGCGCGCGCCGTGCCACCCAGGGCAGCATACTGTTCCACGCTGTGGCCGTAGTCCCACACGTGGCTCACGTCGCCTGAAAACAGGGGGCTGAGGGAAGGAAGGGGAGATGAGCTAGGGCCCAACTGGGCCACCGGGGGCCTCAGGGGCCCTGGGGTCACCTCCTGGGAGGCAGCAGAGGGAGGGGAGGGGGCTGCACCTGATGGTCTGTAGCTCCTTCAGCGACAGCTGGTTGAGGGCCACCCCCTTGGTCTCCGCCATGAACACAGCTTTCCCAGAGGCCTCGTGGGCCTGGCGGAATGGCATCTGGGGAAGCCAGGGTGAGGGAGGTACTGACTCAGCCCTCCTCTGCTCCCTGTTCTTCCTGTGTCCTCCCCCACGACCCCCAGTCCCAACCTGAGTGACACCCCCATCCCCTACCCTATCCGCCCCCGCCACCCCACACTTACCCCTTTGCGGACCAGGTAGTAGGCGAGGTCAGTGGCCAGCATGTCAGGACTAAGAGCCTGGGCCATGTTCTCACGGTGAATCTGGGGGACGCCAGTGGTGGCGGTGTGAGTCCTGGGGACCCTGGGTGGTGAAGCCGCCAGCCCCAGGCCCAAGGCCTACCACTGCCACCCTTAGCCAGGATGTCCCCAGCCTTGGGCAGATCCACTCTGACCCACCCTTCTGTGCCCTCTCTGCTTGAGCCATTTTGTCATCACTATTGATAATGTTTAGGTGTGCTGTCAGGGGTGGCTGGCCCCTTTTCAGAGTCCTTAGCTTCAGCATGGATCAGAACCATAGGGATGATGTGTTCTAAATCGCTGGGTCCTACCCCCAGAGTCTCAAATCCAGGAGGTCTGGAGCGGGACCTAGGATTGCATTTCTATTACATTCTCGGGTGCTGCTGATGCTGCTGATCCCAGGGCCACAGTTCGAGAAATGTGACTCTGAGACACATCCTGAACTATTTAAGAATGAAATGATACAATGGGGATTTGCTTAAAAATAACGAGGCAGCGGGTAGTGGGTAAAGAGTCAAAGCAAAAAAGGCCATGAGTTGGTTATTGTTGAAGCTGTGTGTTAGTCCACAGGGGTTCGTTATACGTTCTCTCAACTGTGCATCCTGAAATTCCCCACATTAAGTGACGAAAAAAGAAATCTGGTCAGGACAGTTGGTGGGACCGCTTGAGTCTAACTCAATTCCATTCTACTGTAGCTAGCATCTTTTGTCACTTCAGTGTTCCCAGGGGCGGGAACAAACACATTCCCACCTCCCCCTGCCCCAGATCTTCTGGACATATCAACCTTCCCCTCCTCTCAAGATGGCCTCCTGGCATGCCATCCCAGAGTGTAGGGGCGGTGGGGGGGGGCTTGCCTGCAGCGTAGAGATGACGCCAGTGGCCACTTGGAGGACGGCACTCATGGTGTCTGACACTTCAAATACGGCTTCTTTGTCCTCCTGGGAGGCGTGTGGCAGAAAGTGAGAGCCCAGCAGCCTTGTCCCCCACTGAGGCGTGTCCACTGCCTTCCAGTGAACACACTCAGCCCCTAGTACAACCCACACCAGCAGGGAGGGGAGGGCTCTCAAGGGCAGTCAAGGGCTGGGTACATAGACTAGAAGGTGGCAATCCTGGGTATGCCAGGGCCCTGGGAACCGGATGTGGTGTATGTGCAGGTGGGTCCCTCACCCACAGCCCCAGCCTCGCACCTGTAAGTCCTTGTTGTAGGTGCTTGGAAGTCCCTTGAGTGTCATCAGGAGCCCAGCACACTGAGGGAAGAGGGAGAAGCAGGAGGCTGGACCTTAGGACCCTCTAGGTCAGCCCAGGGCCCTGCCCCCATTCCCTGCCCCACTCACCCGCCCAAACACGCGCCCCGCCTTGCTCCGGATCAGCTCCAGGCTGTCTGGGTTTTTCTTCTGGGGCATCAGGCTGCTTCCAGTGCTGGGGACAGAGATGCCAAAGCTGAAAGGGCTCCCCTGCCTCCTGGCTGGTCTGCTGGCTGGATCAGGGGAGGTCCAGCAGCACGCAGTCCGGGCGTGCCCAGAGGGTGGCATGGGGAGGAGGGGAGCCACGTGGCGGGTGCAGAGCTGGGGCAGGGCGGGGCCCGGCCTTACCTATAGGCATCTGAGAGCTGCACAAAGCTGAACTCCTTGGTGCCATAGAGGATGAGATCCTCAGCCATCCTGCTGAGGTGGGTCATGCACAGCGAAGCCCAGAACAGGAACTCGGCTTGTGGGAGGAAAGGGAGAGCGGGCCTTCTGGTCACCAGGCCTCTCTTGTACCCCACTCGGTCTGGCGAATCTCCCAGTGGGACCGGACTTGGGGTGGGAGGTGGCGAGAGGACAAATCAGAGCACAGTGTACGGGAGTAGCCCCAGGGGACAAGCAGGCTGGCCCCCAGGACTCACCCACAAAGTCTCGCTCACTGGTGGCATCCATGCTGTTGAGAGTGATGGCCCCAAAGTTCAGTTCTGGAGGACAGGAAAATGGGCAAGGCAATCGGGCAGGGCTGGAGGGCAAGGAGGGGCCTCCACTCCAAACCAGGTTGCCCAGCCACCCCCTCCCTAAGACCCTTTCAGGGAGGAGAGTAGGGAGGGGCAGGAGGTGGGGGCCGGGTCTCTTGTACGGTGCCAGGAAGGAAGCACCGTGCACCCCGGCCACAAGCCTTCTCCTGCCTCTGTCCATAGGGAATAAATGGGCTTTTCAACCAGCCCCCTGCCCCCTCCACATGTGTGTGGCACCTGGCAGGTGCTGAGGCAGATCTCCCTGGGGAGGAGGGGCAGGGCGCCTCACCTGCTCGGAGCAGCTCACGGTCCACACCCAGAGGGTTGCCTGCAATGGCCCCACTGCAGGGACAGGGGATTCCCGGTGACCAGGGCTCCTGGCAGGCAGGCCCTGGCACATGCACACAAGCACACCCAGAGCCCAGCCCTGACTGTCAGGGCTGCCACGCAGTCAGTGTGGGGGGCAGAACGCCTGTCCCCACGGAGGGGAAGTGGAGGGCTGTGGGCTGCTGGCCGGCTCTCTGGAGGCTCAACTCTGACATACTCGCTAGCCTGGTTGTCTTCATCTTAGAGAGAGCTGAGCGGGGGGTGTCCACACAGGGTTCCCTCCCTTCCATGGGGGGAGAACCCTGGACAGGGAAGCCAGTTACCTGGCTTTCTGTTCTTCTCTGCCTTTCCTGGCCCCTCCTCTTCTGTGGATCCCCAGGGACATGCTACCTAGGTGACAGCAACGCCCACCCCCAACTAGGCTCTTAGAGCCCTGGGGCCTCACTCACCTCCCCAGGGGCAGGACATTGATCCGCTTCTGTACCTCCAGCAGCCTCTCAGAGTCTCTGGTCAGCGCCACAGCATGGCTGTAGGAAGCCAGGGGGCTAGAGGGTCAGGGCATCCTGAGCCCTCCCTCCTGTCACAGCCTCTCCATGATGTCCCGGCACTATGCCCCCCTACCCACCTCAGGATCCAGTGGCTCCAGAGAATGGGCTGAGCCCTCTGCAGGTGTGTATATCCTGGGAAGAGGACGTCACGTTCCCTGTGGGGGAAGATTAGAGGCAGGGGCCTGAGGGGTTCCGGAAGTTCAGGCAAGGGCAGCCTGTGCCACCTGGGATGCCGCAGGCCCGGCCCCTATGGGGAAAAGCAGCGCAAGCCTACCAAGGATCTGCCTGCACAGGAAACCAAGTGATCTCCCGGGGACAAATACGTCATAAAAGAAGAGGCCAGAAGTGGGGCCGTGTGATCCCAGGGCTAGGCCAGCGCCACGGGGCCCCCTGGGAGTAGGACTTTGGCTGGGACCAAAGGTGATTAAGTCTTCAGCTCTGAGCAGAGGTGAAAGCCAAGGAGGAGACACATGGTGGGTACTACCTGCCAGGGGGAGTCATGTATGTGAGCACCCGAGAAGCTCCCAAGGACTCCAGGAGAGCGGGGGGCACTTCAAGTGCGGAAGGCAGGGGGAGAGGTGTTAGAGGTGACGGTGATGGTTCTGGCTTGTTTTATTTTAATAAACAGCTTTAGTGACATAAATATATAATCCACATACGATTCACCCATTTAAACTGTACGTTTCAGTGTGCAGCCATCAATTTTACAACATTTTCATCTTCCCAAAGAAGAAACCTTGTCGTCGTTAGCAGCCACTCCTTATTGCCCCCAGCACCCCCAGACCTCTGTGAAGAAGAGGTCACAGGATGCTGGGAAAGAGGAAGGGTCAACCTTATCTCAGATACCAGGTTGGGACTTCTCAGCAGCAAATTGGCCAGGTCTGCAGGCAACAAAGCCAATGCCAAAGATACGAGCCACAGAAGCCAGAGCCTTGGGAAGCAGCTTTGGCTGCCCTGTTCCAGCCATGCTGGGTGGGGCTGGGGCTGCAATGGGGACATAGGGCATAGGCAGGCTGAAGAGTGACCGTGGCTGCCCCAGGTGCAGCCAGCTCGTTTCCCCGGGCTTCAGGGCATCTGCCTAGCCTTAGCCTTCTGCTTATGAAGCCTCAGAGGGTGAGCTCGCCCTGCCTGCTGCCATTGGCTGGCATGGCAGGAGCAAACAGCAAGAACTGCTCCCATCCCTGGATGCTTGCCTCCCTTAGTCTAGGATTTCCAGGACGCCCATGAACTCCAGGCCTGGCTCCCCGACCCTCTTCACCTCTGCCACGTAGATCTGCCTGTCTTACGGGAGAGGAGACCCTGGCTGCCCCCATGTCCCACTCTGCCACCTGGGTGTCCACGGGAGACTCACGCCTCTGCGCGATCCACCATAGTTTTGATGAGCTCCCAGAGGAGGGCAGAAAGTTTAGAGCAGTTCTGTCGCATCCACAGCCTGAGGTCTGTGACCACCTGTGGGGAGGAGAAGGCGGCACTCAGGGAGACAGATGTGTTGCTTCGCTGGGGAACCAGACCACTGCCGAACCCCAAATCTGCCTCCCAAGCCCCCCATGATTGGGAAGGCACAAGGTGTGGGCAGAAGAGCTAGCAGCACCTGGTCATTCCGACTTCGTCCCGTGTGCAGCTTCCCTGCGGTCTCACCGATGAGCTCCTGGGGTGGAGGGAGGCAGGCGGTCAGGGTCTGCCTGCTCGTAGCCCAGTGGCCTAGTGGCCCATGCTGGGTCAGCCCAGGCACGCCCTGGTTCCTCCCTCCCTACTCCTGGCCACCTGTTCTGGGGTCTGGCCTGCATTCTGCTAGAATGATAGCAATTATGCTCCAAATGACCAAGGGCCAGGTGGAGAGGGGAGGCCAGGGGACAGGAAGGGGTCGTACCTTCAGACGCCGTTCATTGGCCGTGTGAATATCTTCATCATTGGGGCTGAGTTTGAAGGTGCCCTGAGCCCACTCCTCAGCCACCTGTAGCAGATGACAATGATCCCAGGGGCCAGGCATCCACAGTCAAGGGGCCCCATCCCTGGACGCACCCCCATTGTGATCACTGACTATCTCTGTATAGGAGCTGAGTCCTGGGGGTGCTCCACAGAAACAGTGAGTGCTCCACAGGCAGGTGTGGTTCCCACCCTCAAGGGATCATCTCAGGCCCAGCCCTCCTTCCCCTATGAACCATGGGCCTTAAAGGATGAAGAGAGACAGTGAGCACAGCACACAGTTTAAAGGGCACCTTGACATTTAACCACAGGGGAAATGACATGCATGGATGGCACAGGTTAGAGGCTCCAGGGTGGTCCTTAGGGTGTAGAGAGTACCTTGTCCAGTCCTTGGAGTATCTGGTCCATCTCAGCCTTGGTGAGGAGCCCCGCCTTTTCCAGGCCCCGGCTGTAGGCCTTGCTGCCCTGCACATCCACCTCCCACAGGTGCCGGTCGTAGGCAATGGATGAGTTGAACTTCTCCATGATGGGGTCCACGGCGCCCACAAACCGGCCACCCCATAGCTTCCCGCTCTGGCCAGGACAGCAGGAGCAATTAGTGTGCTCCCCACCCTTGAAAACAGTGCCTCTCACAAAGGGCCCATGGGAGAGTTATCAAGTCTGATGGCAGTGGGAACCAGTAAGCAGGGTTATTCTCGATGGACAGACAAGGAAACTGAGGCTCAGAGAGGCTCAAAGTCACTCAGGGAGTCAGTGTGGGAATGTGGCTGGACACTGAAGTTAGGGTTCTTTCCCACCACGTGACACTTCGCTAAGGAAATGATGGCAGGGTACAAGATACCCCTGAGACCACAGCAGAGCTTCTGGAACCTTTCCTGCCACTGACCAATGGGAGACATCACTCTGGAGTCCAGAGTCTGAATCCAGCTCTGATATTCCAGCGCTAACCATGAGAACCCTGGCTAACACATAGTGCATTCTCACTGTGTGCCAGGCATGGCTCTAATGGCTTGGCACACACTGACAGAAACTCTCTGAAGCAGGTGCCCAGTGTATCCTGCTACAGAGAGGGGAAAAGCAAGGCGCAGAGCAGTGACTCGGCGTGCCCTTGCTAGGGGCGGTAGAGCCAGGACTGTGGCCCAGCTATCTGCAGCAGAATCCATGCTCTAAACCCCACATTCCACCAGGGCTGCTCTGCTGGCCCTAGTACCCTCAACTTTTGTGGCAGGGACAGGCAAGAAGCACCGGAGGGGGGGCGCCTGGGTGGCTTAGTCGGATGAGCGTCCGACTTCGGCTCAGGTCATGGTCTCGCGGTTCATGGGTTCGAGCCCCGCGTCGGGCTCTGTGCTGACAGCTCAGAGCCTGGAGCCTGTTTCGGATTCTGTGCCTCCCTCTCTCTCTGATCCTCCCCTGCTCATGCTGTCTCTATCTCTTTCTCAAAAATAAATAAAATATTAAAAAAAAAAAAAAGAAAAAGAAGCAGCACCGGAGGGGCCCCATCAGACTCATAATGACCAGCATCTCTCTCCTACAGCTTGGGGTGGGGCCCAAGATCCCAACCTCCACCACTCCCTGGGAGAGCACCTCTTCACATCTGTTATCATTGGCTTTCTCGAAGGTCACTAGCTGACCCTCTGCCCCCTAGGAGCCAAGGGCAGAGGGATGGGACGGGGACACCTCTGTTTTGAAAGAGGGCATAGGCCATGGCATATGACAGATGGGGGAGGGGTACAGAACACATCACGGAGCTGTCTTAGCTCCCAAAATGCCAAGGATTAGGAGAGTGTTCCCTGGGTGAGGGTGGGCATGTCGCTTCTCTGCCAACTTTCCTGTGGAGGGGGAGTTTATAGTGGCTGCTGGGGACCCACTTATAATGTGGGGTGTAGAGCATGGATTCTCCTCTATGCCCCTGCAACGTCCTGGACCTCTCCCAGCCACCTGATTGTGGGCATGTTATACAACCTCTCTAAGCCTCAGGGCTGCTGCTCCATAATATAAGGTCAAGAGTAGTACCTATCTGGGGCGCCTGGGTGGCTCAGTCAGTTAAGCTTCCGACTTCAGCTCAGGTCATGATCTCATGGTTTGTGGGTTCGAGCCTCGCATCAGACTTTGTGCTGACAGCTCAGAGCCTGGAACCTGTTTCAGAGTCTGTGTCTCCCTCTCTCTCTGACCCTCCCCTGCTCACGCTGTGTCTCTCTCTCTCTCTCTCAAAAATAAATAAAACATTTAAAAATTTTTTAAAAAAAGTAGTACCTATCTGATAGACTTGTTGTGAGTATTTAATGAGGTAAAAGGTACTAGGTGCACTCATAGCACAGTGCCTGGCACTCAGTAAACTCTCCTAGTAAGGGAAGGGCCCAGGGCTGCCAGAGCCAGGCTGCGCCTTAGCGCCACTCTTGGTTCTGCGTGCACCACGGGGGCCTCCACTGTGCCCTGCCCCCAGACTGTGAGCTGACCCCCCACTGCCCAGCAGCCTTGGCCACCAGAGGACTCTGACCTGCAGAAGCAGCCTCCACCCCGCTCAACCTTTTGAGCTAGATCCACCCCTTACCCTCCAAGCCTAAATCTCCGCAAAGCACCACGTGGGTCCCTGGTCCTGACTACTGGGGCCAGCGGGCCAGGGTCAACCAGCCGGGTTGAGAGCCAGCCCGCCCTTCAGCCGGGACCCTGGCACTGCCTCTTCCAGCAGGCCTCTGGACTCCCTGCCTGGGTTGTTAGTAATAACAACTGCTTAACAAGCCGGGCTGCAGCCAAACCAATTAGTACCAACCCACAGGACGGCCTGCGGCAAGCAGTCACCTGAAGCTCTGGTCTCCTGAAGGCAGCCTACTCTGTATTGGGGCCAAGCTCCCACCCCACGGGCAGGCTTAAAAAGACCCCCAGAAGGAGGTCAGAATGAGGTGTCACCATTTGGGCTCTGAAGAGGGGGGTGCCTTATATGGGGGGAGAGAGGTCTCCTCTAAGCTAGGGCACACTAGGGCCAGAGTGATCCCTTTGGGGCAGGGGGCAGGAGCACTGCTTGGGGTTGGAATGAATGAGCAACAGCCAATTTAGAATGCACAAGGGAGGGCCACCTGATTGAGCTTCTGCTCAGATCATGATCTCGTGTTCATGGGTTCGAGCTCAGCATCGGGCTCTGTATGGACAGCTCAGAGCCTGGAGCCTGCTTTGGATTTTGTGTCTCTGTCTCTCTCTGCCCCTCCCCTGCTCACACTCTGTCTCTCAAAAAATAAAATAAAACATTAAAAAAAAAAGAACGCACAAGGGAAATAACCTGTAGTTACTGTATCATTAGCCACCATTTATTGAGCACCTACTATGGTTCAACAACTTGGCCCTGTGCTAAGCATCCTACATGCTATCATACCCTCCAATGAGGTAGGCGCCGTTACCCTGGGAGATCAGTGACTGCTTCAGAAACCAGATTTGTTTGCCTCCAAAGTCCAAACCCTGATCCAGAAATAGCAGGGCAGGCATTCTCATCTAGTTTATTCAAAAGGAAAAACTGAGGCCTAGAGAGAGGAAGTGACTTGCTAGCTAATGAGGACCAAAAAGGATTGGAACCTAGATCTCTTGTTTCCCAGGCTCCAGGTTCCTTCATTGGGATCAAGTAAACATTCCCTTTTACCTGAAAAGTTCAAAACAAGGACCGCATGATCCAGTACTTTATAGGGGGAGGCAGAAATCTATTATCATGCCCATTTGCCAGATAAATCAACTGAGGCCCAAGGAAAAGAACCTGTGCCTAGGGCTCCTGTCACTCAGTGGTCAGGAAGAGAACCTGACCTTTAAAGAGAACCTCTCTTTAATGAAGAGAGGCCAATGAGATAGGAAGCCACCAGACACTGGGGCCACAAGGGCCACAGGTCATGGTCCCCTACCTCCGGGGTCTTGCCAGAAACCAGAGTCATGTGGAACCCTGCCTCATAATGACAATTGCTATAGCAGAAGGGGCGGAAGGGTGGCGACTGACGGGACATCGGGGAAGCAGGAATGAAGAGGGGAGGAGGCTGAATGAGCGGGCAGCTCCTTTCTTGCCCCCAGCCGGAAGCGTCAGGGCAAGGCCACCTTCCCTAGCAGTGTGGGTTGGTAAGTGCCACACAGGCCCCTCGGGAGCGGGGAGGGGGAGGGTAGAAGTCCGCGCGAAGATCTTTCCCAGGTTCTGGCAAGCGCTCCAGGAGGAACCCACCGCCGGGGGCCCGAGGGGACAATTACCAGAAGGGTGGCCGGCCGCACGTCCGGCATGGGGAGATCCCGAGTGCAGGTCACGGCCCTGGCTGGCTCCCAGAGCGCCCCTCCCCCTCATTTGGAGACTCGGAGGACCTGGATCCCCGAGGTCCCACTCACCTCCGATGCCATGTTGGGCGGTTCCTCGTCGTTCAGGAGCCTCGGTCGTCCGGGTCTGGAAGACAAGCCGGGACTGACGACCTCCTTCGACCCCGGGCGGGGTCCCTCGGGAGGGGCCGGCTCCGGGCTCCGGCTCGGGCGCTTGGCCCAGCGCAGTCCGTGGGGAGGCGGACGTGCGTCCTCCGCGTCCTCCGCTCCGCCCGCCGCGCGCGTCCCTACCGTCGCGCCTGGCCGGCACTCACCAGCTCCTGGCCGCCGAGTCACCCTCCAGCCAGCCACCTGGCGGGGTTTTTCTGGTCCAAGGGGCTTCAGCCCCAGCCCGGCCCTGTGCCCGCCTCCTGGCGGCCCCGCACCAATCCCAGGCGCCCTGGCCAGGTGGGCGTTGCCTCCACCCTCCAACCCCGGCTGTGGGCGGTGCCGTCTCCGGAGCGGCGTTGGGTCCAGCGGCCCCAGGGCGGAGTAGGCGCAGTGAGGGTGGTGCCAGAGCGACCGCGCTGAAGGCAACAAACTGTGGCGGGCACTGGACACTCGGCCAGGCCCAGCGGGCTCACAGGATACAGAAGGTGAAAAGGCCTGCCCGATCATTCATTCATTCAACAAACATGCGCCTGGCACCCCTTCGTTTGTGCCAGGTAGAGTTAGACACTGAAGAAAAAGAAATGATACCTGCCTCAAGAAACCCTGACGAAACGTGGACAGGTTGTTCTGGGAGCATTTAAGGCAGCACGGAAGGGGTGTCTATCTCGGGGTTCTCAGGGAAGATTTCCTTGATCTGATTATTCAACAGAAATGACAAGCTGGGTTCTAGGTGCTTGGTGGCACAGCATCCGACTTCTGCCTTGAAATGGCTTCTGGTGGAGATGTCCCCTAAGTTGGGTCTTGAAAGATGGGAGTTAGCCCCTCAAAGAAGAGGGTTAGAATTTTCCCTGCAACGGGAGCCACCTGGGCAAAGGCTGGGAGGCCAGACTGTGAATAGCCTGCTTGGAGAACAGAAACAGGTCAGAGTGGCCACAACAAAGGGACAGGAGTCTGGTCGGCAAGGGCGGTGGGAAGTAGGTTGGGGCAAGATTATGAAAGGCTTTGAATGTCAAGAGAGACAGTTCGGTCTTGGTCCTGTAGATCATAGGAACCAACAGACTGGAATCATTTGCAGTTCCTAGAATGTATCAGGCTGTTTCAAGCCTCCGTCGTTGTCGTCGTCTTCTTCTTCTTCTTCTTCTTCTTCTTCTTCTTCTTCTTCTTCTTCTTCTTTTCTTTGTAGGATTATTGATATTTTTCTTTTTTTAATCTAATAATGTATTTATTTTTTATAATTTACATTTCAGTTATTTATCATATGGTGTAACAATGATTTCAAGAGTAGACTCCATGGGGTGCCCGGGTGGCTTAGTCGGTTAAGCGTTCGACTTTCGCTCAGGTCATGATCTCGCAGTTCGTGGGTTCGAGCCCCGCGTCGGGCTCTGTGCTGACTGCCAGCTCAGAGCCTGGAGCCTATTTCAGAGCCTGTGTCTCCCTCTCTCTCTGACCCTCCCCTGCTCAAGCTGTCTCTCTCTCTCTCTCTCTCCTAGAAATAAATAAAACATTAAAAAATTAAAAAATAATAAATAAATAAGTCACATAATCCTCCCAAAAATGGAATGTTCATATGAAACCTTTTATGAACTGAAATAACATAAAGAAAGAAAAAACTTACACAGAAACATTTTTCAGCATTCGCAGACCCACAGAGTAAANCTCTCTCTCTCTCCTAGAAATAAATAAAACATTAAAAAAAAAAAAGAATAGACTCCTTAATGCCCCTTACCCATTTAGCACCCCCCACAACCCGTCCAGCAACCCTTTGTTTGTTCTCTATATAAAGAGTCTTATGCTTTGTCTCCCTCCCTGTTTTTATATTATTTTTGCTTCCCTTCTCTTATATTCATTTGTTTTGTATCTTAAAGTCCTTATATGAGTGAAGTCATATGATATTTGTCTTTCTCTGACTAATTTCACTGAGCATAATACCCTCTAGTTCCATCCACATACCTGCAAATGGCAAGATTTCATTCTTTTTGATTGCCGAGTAATACTCCATTGTATATACATACCACATCTTCTTTATCCATTCATCCATTGACTGGCATTTGGGCTCTTTCCATACTTTGGCTATTGTGGATAGTGTTGTTATAAACATTGGGGTGCAGGTGTCCTGCTAAACAGAATACCTGTCTCCCTTGGGTAAATACCTAGTAGTGCAATTGCTAGGTCATAGGGTACATTTCAAGCCTTCTTAAATCCTCTTCCCTGTGCTTGGAATGCCCTTCCTTCACTGTCTCACTGTTTCCCACTTGTTCATTGATATCCTAGCCAAGCATCATCAATGTCAGGGAGATTCCCAGATGACCCTGATGTCCATCTCTGGGGTCCCACTGGATCGTATAAGAGCATCTAGTAGTCTTTCCCTGAATTGAGAGCACTGTAGTTGTGTCTTCTGGGTCTTCTTCCCTACCCAACTGTGAGCTCCTTGGAAGCAAGACCTCATCCACTTTCTCCCTGTGATCTCCAGCTATTTCCTGTCTTCTCCCATAGAAGCCCCATAACTGGGCTGCATCAGGCCACAGGTGGAAAGAGATGTGGAAGCCCATGAGACCAGTTCTAAGCCATGTGGTCCTCTCAACTGAAAGAGCATTGTGGCAAATCCCTGGGACCCACCTGCTAGGCTCTGAGGCCTGACATCCCTTCCTGGGAGGCCAAAGGTGAAAGCCAGCAGTACTCTGCAAACATGAGCTCACATCCCTGAATACCGGGCAACATGCAGGGGCCAACACTCTGGGAAATGAATTGAGGCTAGAAAGGAGTCAGGGAAGAAATATGAGAGCAAGACTAAAAACACGATGCATAATACAGGTAGGGCTGTAATATAACACCTCACACAGTGGCTCAACAGGTGCCAGACTAAAGCCTTTACACAATTGATCTTATTTCATCTTCACAACAGTCCTGTTTATAGATGGAGAGGCTGAAGCTGCAAAGGGCTAAGGGTTAGTGGACATGCCCCATGGCAACCAGTTAGAAGGAGACAGTCTGGCTGCCCGCATTGTACCACATGACAGAAGAGAGACTGTGACCCCAGATTTGCTTGCAGCAAATAGCAAGCTTATCCTGTGTGGAGGTCGCTGCGGGGTTGGGGAAAAGAACTCAGGAGAAGGAAGAACACAAGGAGGGAGCATGAAGGCTTGTGAAGAAAAAAACCCAGACAAATCAAGAGTCTGCAGCTAAGGCCCTGACAGCAGACACTAAAGTGGACATGACCCTTGATCTTGAAAAAATGTCCTTGGCACTTAGGACTCATGGGAGCAGAGCAGCCAGGTTCTCTCAGAAAATGCTGAGATCCAGGGCGCCTGGGTGACTCAGTTGGCTAAGTGTCCGGCTTCAGCTCAGGTCATGATCTCGCAGTTCATGGGTTCGAGCCCCGCGTCGGGCTCTGTGCTGACAGCCGGCTCAGAGCCTAGAGCCTGTTTCGGATTCTGTGTCTCCCTCTCTCTCTGACCCTCCCCTGCTCACACTATCTCTCTCTCTTTCTCTCTCAGAAATAAAGAAAACATTAAAAAAAAAAAGAAAAGAAAAGAAAAAGTTGAGATCCCTGAGCAAAATCTCGGGGAGACTGAGAGAGGCTTGGAGAAATGTGCCTGCCAGTGGCCAGTCTATAATCAGCACAGAGAAGATGGTTAGGAAGAACAGGAGGCCACTATCTGCTACCTGTAGCCCATAGAGAGGTCAGACAGGGATTTGAAGGGTGACTATCTCAGGCTTTTGAGAGGCAACACTCAATCCGTACAGCAGTCTAGCCACTCCTGCCCTAAGTAGGCTGTTTAGGGGACCCTAAGGTTGGCGTAGGAGTATGACTGGAAGAAGACTGGACGTTGGGCCATGGTGGAAAGCAGTTGCAAGGGCCTTATTCTCGGGGACTTCTTTGATGACCAGCAGAATCAGTTTCCCTTCAAACTTCCAGAGTGTGGCTGATAGGATTTGGGGACCAGGTGAGTCCATTCCAAGGGAATTGTTAGGGTGCTAGAATCCCATAATGCAACAGAAATGGTAACTGAGATTGGATCAAATTCTCAAGCCTTAATAAATAAAGGTACACAAATTCACTGCCCAAAGACCCAGACTACAAGAAAGGCTAAGGAAGTTCCTTATGCTGAAGGGAAATGACTTAAGATGAAAGCTTTGGCCTACAGGAAGGAATAAAAAGCACCAGAAGGGGTGCCTGCATGGTTCAGTGAGTTAAGCATCCGACTCTTGATCTCAGCTCTGTCTTCATCTCAGGATAGCCCCACATTGGATCTACTTAGAAAACAAACAGGGACACCTGGGTGGCTCAGTTGGTTAAGTGTCCGACTTTGGCTCAGGTTGTGATCTCACGGTCTGTGGGTTTGAGCCCTGCATCAGGCTCTGTGCTGATAGCTCAGAACCTGGAGCCTGTTTCAGATTCTGTGTCTCCCTCTCTCTCTGCCCCTCCCCAGTTCATGCTCTCTCTCTCTCTGTCTCAAAAATAAATGAACGTTAAAAAAAAAAGAAAGAAAGAAAACAAACACCAGAAAGAGCAACTATGTATGGTGAAGACTTTATTCTCTCCTCTTAATTTCCTTAAAGACAAATGACATGGGGAGCCTGGTTGGCTCAGTTGGCAGAGCATGCAACTCATGATGTCAGGGTGTGAGTTAGATTACTTAAAAATAAAATCTTAAAAAAGTTAAGACAAATGACTATTTAAACTAAAAATAATAACGATGTATTGTTAGTTTTATAGCAAAGTGGAAGAGGATACTAATGGAATTATACTGTTGTAAAGTGGTTATGTTATACATGAAGAGATATACTAATATTAATTCAGAGAAAACTGGAATAAGTTAAGGATTCATAATGTAATCCTTAGAGCAACCACTAAAAGAAGATACATCTAAAAACCCAAAAGATGAGATAAAATGGAATATTAAAATATTCTTGATCTAAAGGAAGTCAAGGATAAAGGACACAGGTACAGAGAGAAAAAAAATAAGTTAATAGACTTAAACAACTGTATTAATAATTACCTTAAGTGTAAATGGGTTAAACACTTCAATTAAAGGCAGAGATAAAAGGCAGAATGCATTAAAAAAGTAAGATCCAACTATATGCTGCCTA